ACACTTACAAAATAATAATTTGGAACTAATTGCTTATTTTGTTTTAGTGTTAAGATTTCTATTTTCAATTCTTGTTTATTATTTTCTAATGTTGTTAAATATTTATTGTCTTTAACTATTTCTATCCACGAATCTTCTATTATTCCTTTTATTATTTTATTTTCTGTATTACAGAGAATTTGAGATTTATTACTCATAATTGATTTTTGAAATTATTTAATTCAGGTAAAACTTCTGAACGAGTAGGACTATATCCTTCAGAATCATTTTCTTGATAAATTGGTTTTGGGATATTTGCATTGAAGTCTACATATCTTAAAGATTTAGATTTTGAAATCAAAGGAGTTTTCACATCAATGCTACTGGTTGATTCTATAGAAAATCTTGTTGGAACAAATGGAAAAGATTTGAAATTAATATCTATTGACCCATCTTCATGTTCAATAATATTTGATTGTTGATTAGAATTTTCTATTTGTTTAGGTTGATGTATATTTTGAAGATTCCAGTTACAGGACTGAGTAATTTCATTCCATTAAAGGCGTTTTGGAATTTGAACTTTAGTGTGTAGGGGGTTTTATTCAAATATTATGGTTTCATTTTTTGGACTTGCTATCTTAGTCTTTGGCTCGATTGTTGAATACATAGTCTTATAACAAATTCGATAGATGACTGCGACAGTTTTGGTGTCTTCTTTGAATTCTAAATTCTCAGTTTTAATTGTTAAAACTAAAGTATCTAGAATATTTGGATCAAATAATCCTACTGAGAAATTAGGATAACAATTGAAATAAATTGGACCATTAGAAATATTAGTTTCTGCCATTGCTAATATTGAATTCTTAAAGTTAGTATGTCTAGCATCTCTTAGAATTAAAAGGACAGGGGCATCTATGTCTAGTCTAAAGAGTGGTTTGATTGCTACTTGAACTAACCCAACATGTAAGAACTTATATTTCTTTCTGTGTTGAATTATAGCAATTTTTGATAAAAGGTTAAGATTTTCATAATCTTTATTAATTGATAAGGTTTGTTCTGTTGCTTTAATTGAATAACCTTGAAGAAAATCGAAATGACCTATTTTATAAATTGTATTAACATCTTGTTTTGGAATTGTCCAGTCTGATAAATTTTGTTTTATATCGCTAATATGAATTTCTGATGAATTTAAATGAAAATCTTGTTCTTCATTGATTTCATCGCCAGAATTATGTCTTCTAGGGAATAAATTCATTATTTTATCTATATTAACTCAATTGTGCTTAGATTTGAGTATTGTTCTTCTAAGAAAATTTGATCTTTCTAATGATCTTTGGGCTATTAGTGGTTCCTTTGGTCTGGTACGACTGCACGTCTTACGCTCCCTTGTGCGTGACTTACGCTACTCCAACGCCCATCAAGGCTAACCAACGCTAATATCCAATTATCATTATAAAATCTCATTTTCTTACGGAACAAGCTCATCTCCATGACGCATTCATTAACATAAATAACATAACTCATTAATGTATGTACGTATGTATGTACGTATGTATGTGTATTAATCTTCTTTATATATAAAAGTAAGATCCACAAAAAATGATGCGGCACCCTAAGAATTGAGCATTCTATATTTCTTGCATAGAGATTGAGTTTTGTGTATCCCACATTGATGGAGAGATAAAAAATTGACAATTGATCGTAAGTATATGAGATGAGATTGATGCGTCTTTGTTTTAACTAATGAGATTTGATTCTCTTGGCTAATCCTATAAACTCATATTGTTAGTTCATGTTTGCTACCCCTCCAAACTCATCATATCGTTAGTTCATGTTTGCTAACCCTCCCAACTCATCATATCGTTAGTTCATGTTGGCTAACCCTCTAAACTTATGGGGTTGGTTCATTTTGGCCAACCCTTTGTTTGCAAAAAATTCATCTTTATAAAAAATATGTATATATATATATATATGGTTCTCTCTGTACACAAAAAATAATGTGTCACCCTAAGAATTGAGTATTATATATTTCTTGCATCGAGGTTGAGTTTGTGTATCCGACATTGATGGATAGATGAAAGATCAACAATTGATGATAGGTATATATGAGAAGGTTGATGTGTCTTTATTTTAACTCATGGGGTTGGGTTCTCTTGGTTAATCCTATAAACTCATATAATTGGTTCGTGTTGGCTAACCCTCTAAACTCATGGGGTTTGTTCATTTTGATGAACCCTCTATTTGCAAAAAAGTTGTTCATATAAAAAAAGTAATATATTAATACAAAAGAAAGCTAGAAAAAAAATAAGATGACATCATTAAAACCAAATATTTTAAAATTCTTGCATTGTGGTTGGATTTTGGGTATCCACATTGATTAGAAATTGATACGCCAATGAGGAAAATGAGTATATAAGAGAAATATGAGTTCCCTTTGAAAATTAAAAGGTTCATTTGGCTATATAAGCCATGTTTATCTTTAAATGTTTGGAGCAATTGTCTAAATTCACGTGGTTGGATTTTTACTGAACTTCCAAACATATGCTGTTAACTCATTTTGACCAACCTGTTTTTGTGAAAAAATTAATCTATACTAAATATTAATTGAAGAGATAATTTTAACATGTTTTTTAAAGTAAGAAGCGGAACCGTTGACGAGCCACCCTAATAATTGAATATTCTTCAATATTGAATTGTGATTGAGTTTTATATATCCACATTGATTGAGAGTTGAAATATTGACAAAAATGTTGGATATGTAAAATGAGGTCGAGATGCCTTTGTGACAACTCATGAGGTTGGTTCCTCTTGGTTGATTCTCTCAACACCTGTGGTTAGAGCATTTTGGCCGACCCTCTGAAACGAGAAGAGATGTCTTGAAATATTGAAAGGGTTACAAATACACAATGAAAATTTAGTATTTTCAAATTTGAAGTATAGGGATATTGATGTGTTCACAATTTTTTGTATATTACTTGACATGTGTTTATGATCACCGTGCAACGCACGGTGCCGAGCACTAGTTAAATTATTAAAGTTATAGGATGAGACTCTTTAGCTAAAGAATTACAGAGATTCTTGATCAAAACTTGAATGTTTGAAATTGCAGTAACATGATGGGGCCATGGAAATATGAATATTAATGTTATACATAAAAAATAGGAATGTATTATTGATTTTATGGATGTTTGAATTCTGTTTTTCATTTCTTTCTACACTTCTTATGATCCATATGTCACTTTAGTTGCTTAAAATTTTAATTGCAACGGTATTTTTCTATTACTTTTTGGTTCCATATTTGTTAATTAATTGCTAGTGATCAAGTTTATAGATTTATAAGAGTTACAATTTTTAGGCCCGTTAGCACGCCCGATCTGTTTATAGGGCAGGCAATGGCAAGTTGTCAAGCGCGAAAAAAATGGCTTGGGCTTACAATATTAGGTCCGTTGGACAAAAAAACAAGTTAGGCCCGGTCCGGACCCAGCCTAGGCCCGCAAATAATCACCTCTACTGTGTACCTAACTTAATGATTTATGATCTTAACCGGCAGACCAAAGATTTTTGCCCATCTTTAAGGTGGATTAAAAGCTCGTAAAGTCGACTAATGTATTTTAAGCCGAATCCCACCGTTTCAAGTGATTTTTTTTAAGTTTTTTGGTTAATTATAAGGGATTTTTAAGTTTTTTGGTTGATTTCGAGATATTTTTAACTTTTTTGGTTGATTTGATGAACTTTTTTGGTTTTTTGGTTGATGTTCTTTGTGTTTTCCAATATCCCATAGCACCACTGTTGCACCTTTCATATCCAAGAAGAATTCTAATTGCAAAAAATAAGTTGAGCAGACACACGACGCTGCTCGAGACTTCATAGGTTCGTGTCTTATCTGAACGAAGATATATTGGTTTTGCTAATATAAAATTTTGAGTGTTTCTTAAAGCAGAAGTTTATACAAATATATCCTTGTTTACAACATGATTTTGGATGATACATGCTCATTCTTGCATATACGCAATTATCAAAGGCTGTCTAGAAGACGGTATGAGCTACAAAGAAGTTTCAGGCGAATGCAGGGACGAAGGTATAGCCTAGACATCTTGTACAAGAGTTACGTCATTCTTGAAAGAAGATTGCATTTGGATTCATGAAATCCTTGACAAGGGATTGTATTAACATTTGACGAGTAGCTTCGAGAGTATGTACATGTTATAGTTGTTGGTTTGGTTATGCATAGATTCATATTTTCATCAAATATGTAACTAAAAATAATCATATCGTGATAATTGTATGTATTTGCTAAATGCTAAGAAATATATATGTGTATCGTAGGTAAGGATCAAGAGATGTGACGACAACTAAATACACAAAGATTGGAATCGTTCTGGTTGAAGTTCCTTATGTTGTAAGGATGTTTCTATCACATGCACTAGTTTTTAATATAATCGAACTTATGTTTTATCACTTCACCAAATTTTAGTAAGATTACTTAATATTATTATTTTATAATTAAATTGAAAAAAATGAACATAACGCACATTCGGGTATCGGTCTCGAGCCTTGAAATGGGATGTTACACACCATCACGTAACCGTTACGGCAAAATTGGTCTCACTCCTGATCCAAAATGTGAAACTGACGAGAAACTGAATTATAACCCGTTCTTTAAAACTCAATCCACTTTTACCTATTTGTTGTTCTTTTAGGTTTTAATAAATTAAAAAACCGTTCACCAATGGAAGAGCGTAACATGATGCTTTTTCCCCCAAAGAAGTTGATAGTAACCGACTAAGTTGACCCTTTAACTAATAAGTACCGACCAATTATAACTAATCATTAACCAGTCTCTCTTTAACCAGTCAAAATGTAACCGTCCTGGTATAAATCCAGACCTTAATTGGTCCTCATATGATGTAGGTTTGACATTGATCAGTTTTCAGTACAATTTTCAATTATATCATGGTCTTCCAAGAAGGCAATAAACCAAAATACCCGATAACAATAATTCAAATTCAAACATACCAACATCAAAATCAATCGACGAATTGAATAATTCGGTCATCGTTTATGGGTCAAAAGAGCAACAAGTCAACCAATTTCTTTGCTAGAAATATCAAGTTTAAATACACAAAAAATCCACCTTTGGTGTAAATTATTTGAACTTAAAATCTAATTAACAAAAAATATACGAAAATAGCAGTAATCAAAATTACATTAATTCCAAGTTTAACATGGATCTTGATTCGAGTCCTACATCTGAACATGGTCCCAATCAATCTGTTCGTCTTTTAAGTCGTATTCAGATTGGTGGAGCTTGTTACGACCCAACTTACTCATCATCGAAAGACCTACAAAGCACGTGTAAATAATAGTGTCACATTTACGAGTCTAACCCTTCCACCACCAACATATGATAAACACAATAAACGAAACCAACTCAGTATATTCCGTTCGGAGGTGGGTTCTGAAGGGAGGTCAGGTGGATGGTTGTATGCAAACATGACCTCTGCTCCAAAGACGAGCAATTGTTTATGTGGACGCCCCCGACTTTTGGTTATGTTTGACAAAGTAACTATTGACTGATATGCTAGCTTACAGTTAGATGAAAAGGCTAGATGTTAGCTAACAAGTTGGCTGATAAACTAGTCATGTAGGTAAAAGTTAGCAGATAAGCTAGATGACAATGTAAAATGACTTGAAGAAAAACATAACGGCCATCTATGTCAGATAGAAGAGGCGTAATTGAAAGAAATGAAAAAAAGCCCCAATAAGCTATTTGAAGTAGCTTTTTAAAAAGCTAGCTTATAAGCTAGTTTATGCATAACCAAACAAGGTTTTCTCGATAAGCTTAAAAAATAAGCTAGCTTAGGGTGATGAAAAATAACTAATCTACCCCTGGCAAAGGATTGTGTGAGAAGCAGAGTTGAGGTGAGAAGCGTAAGAAGGGATCTGGACCCATGATCACCTTTAATCTCAAACCCACCCATGAATGCTCTTGATACAGGGATTGATCTAGTCCATCTCGGTACATCTCATCTCGGTGCATCTCATCCTAATGTGCATCCAAGTGTGGAGATCCCTTCTTACGCTTCTCACCTTAACTTTTCTCTCACCGGAACCTAACCCATCTACCACTTGGGGATAGAGAAAATTTCTGCATACTTCCTACCCACACAAACCATACTTTCATTTTTCGCAATATAGGGTTTTCACAGAAACACCTTCTCTATCCCTTGGGACAGAAGAAAGGTCTGCATAAATCCTACCCCTCACAGACCCTACTTTAGATTTTTTGCAATCCGGGGCCTTCAGGAAATCAACCTCTCTATCCGTGGGGGAATAAGAAAAGGTATTTGGATATCCTCCCTCTTACAAACCCTACTCTCAAATTATTTGCAATCTAGGTCTTTAGTTCAAGGAAAGAGCCTCTTTATCTCTTTGGGTAGGCCCTCGTAGACCCTACTTTTGAGAGGGATATGCCGAGTACGATTGACTAGTAAACAAGAAAAAAGCCGAAAATAAAATGAGCAATGGAGAGAATGTTAGGTACCTTCGACTACTTTGTAAAGAGCCGACCACCATCTCTCCCTTGGGACGTGGGATCGATCAAGCGTCTCTTCAATATCTTTGTCATGCTCCCCTTTCAAAACACCTTGGAGAGTTACAACCGCATCCTTTGTTTTCTTAAGGATATTGTTATCATCTTCAAATTCCATGTGAACAAGGTCGTTTTGCGATGAAGTGAGGCTAGCGGCAAGAGCAAACTGGGCGGCAGCCGCCCACCGTGAAGAGGCAAGCCATCTCCTCTGTCCATCTATTGCTGCCTTCTCCGCCTTATCTCCTTCCGCTCCAAATGCTAAGCTACGCAAATACTCTGCATTTGCAGCTCCTGTACTTTGAACCATTTTCGAGAAAGCAGTTTGTTCGTCTTCCAAAAGTTTTACTGGTGCATCATACTCAACAACCTGAGAGTTTTAAAGAAAAATGGATTACTTCCAAAAGGGTGTTACATTTTGGCTTTTGAGGTCAAACCCTTTTGACCTTTTTCCGTGATTATCCATATGGATCAATTTTACAAATTCAACAATAATACTTCTACTTAGGAAAAATGCATCAAGATGCAACAAAATTTGCCTTAGTTCCCTATTCAGTGTAACAAAGGATTTTTTTTTTCTAAATCAATGTAATAAAGTTTCAAAATTTTATATTTTCTACCATTTTGACCGGTAACATCTGATGATGTCTTACTCAAGATTATCGTCCATTGCGTTGTAACCCTTTCCTAAACAGGCACCACATCATCAAATGTTATAAGATGAGCAGGTTACAGGTCAAAATGGTTACAAAATAGAAAATTTGGAACTTTGTTATGTGGACTGAGAAAATAAACTAGTCCTTACGCTAAATCGGAACTAAATCAAACTTCGTTGCATTTTGCCATACTAAAATCTAAGGAAAAGTCCGGAAAACCCAACGAAATCCCCGATTTTGAATGATCAAGTCCCTAATACCTTTTTTTGAATGAAAAAACCATTGAACTTTCTCATTTTGAATGATCAAGTCCATGACCATTTTTTGTCATCGAAATTCTAGAGATTGATTACCGACATCATTTTAACCCAAAAAAGCTATCTATAACCGGCTAGAAAGATTTTAAAGTAAAAGAAACCTAAATCAGTTTTTTGAATAAGAAAATGGGTACCTGTAACTGGCTAGCAATCATTATACCAAAAGTATAATGATTTTAATTTTTAGATATGAGAATTGGTCTGTGCAAAAAGCAAACTTGACCACTTTGTTTGGAAAGGAGGCTAACTATAAAGACCATAAATATACAGTTCTTTCATCAAAAAATTCATTAGGGAACTTTTACATAAAGCGATCAGTACCTGACCAGCATCAAGGAGAAGAATACGGTCACAATCGATGATGGTATTTAGACGATGAGCAATGATGATCATAGTACACGATTTGAATTCTTCGCGAATGGTCTTTTGGATAAGTGCATCTGTTCTAACATCAACAGCAGCAGTTGCTTCATCAAGAACAAGAATCTTCGATCTCCGGAGCAATGCACGCGAAAGACTTAATAGCTGTCGTTGTCCAACACTGAAGTTCTCTCCGGCCTCTGATACCTTTATTACAAGAAATAATATGTTGGAAGTAATTATTATCATAATGTAACTCACGCATACTAAAACCTTTTCTAAATCTACGATTTGAGAAGGTGAAAATAGGGTCCTTTGATCAATGACTCGAAACAGGAAATGAACATGTACCTCGGCATCTAAACCCAATGGATTCCTCCTGATGACATCCTTTAGATGGGCTCTCTCTAAAGATTCCCAAAGATCAGGATCATTGTGCTCATTGAAGGGGTCAAGGTTAAATCTTACAGTCCCTTTACAAAAACAATTTCAATAATCAGGAAAAATGAACTTCAATTGCAGAGTATAAACCAAACCAAATAAACCCAGTATATTCCACCCGAAGGTTGGGAGGGGGGGTGCAAATCTGACATCTGTGAGAATATGTGGAAGCTCCGAATCACTCCCCAAAAGAGCCCTTGAGGAGAAGGGGGAGGTTCCAACATATATACAAGAAAAATGGTTAAGTCTAGTCGATGCTGAACTCCAACACGCCCATGCCAACAGAGGCTAGATGGACACAGATTGTCCCAGGGTGTCAAGTGGGGGATAGCCAGAGTGTCGAGTCCCTAGAGTGGCAGACCTTGGCTCTGATATCATGTGAGAATATGTGGAAGCCCCAGATCACTCTCCAAAAGATCCCTTGAGGAGAAAGGAGAGGTTCCAACATATATACAGGAGAAATGGTCCAAGTCTAGCCGACGTGGAACTCCGACAACATCTACCCCAAAGGGTAGAGCAAGAACTTAAATGCAGACTATCATTGGTGAAACAAATACACCAAGAATACCATCTTACAAGTTGCTCTGCCCAAAGAAAAAAATGCAATCTTTTCTCTTTTCGATAATTTTTCAGTCCTAATTCATTTTTTGCCCACTAGTAGTCATTAAATGGAATTAGAAATGTCTGATTTTGGTCCACAAGTTTCCTTCATTTTATCCTTGTTAAGGGGCATTTTAGACATTAGATCAATAGTCAGAACATTTTAATTAAACTTTGTTACATCAAAAGTTGCAATTTTGTGGGATAGAGGGTACAATACAAAGAAAAAGGACCATGTTTTAGGATAATAAAGATTACCAAATATATCCAAAAACAACAATGAAAAAAGCTTTGATGTACCTGAGAAAAGAACAGGTGCTTGGGGTATAATACCAAGAACCTTGCGAAGATCGGTCAACCCAAACTTCGCAATATCACAGTTATCGATTATAATATTTCCTCTTTCCAGTTCCACGATACGAAATAAAGCATTGAGCATGCTGGATTTGCCTGCTCCGGTCCTTCCAACTATTCCAACCTTGTCGGTTGGGGGAATTGTGAAAGACAAACCATGCAGTACAGGAGGAAGTTCAGGCCTATAGCGTAAAACAACATTTTCAAATTTGATCGATCCCGATGTAGGCCATCCAGGTGGAGGGCGATTGTCTTCAATAACAGGAGGAGCCTCAGAAGGCAATTCAATATAAGTACCAACACGCTCCACAGCATTCAAGCTATTCTCGGCTAGACTTGCAAGCCTAAGAACAGCGGTTAATAAGGATGTGATATTTAATGCATAACTTAGAAGAAGACCCATGGTAGATGCAAAAGCTTCTTGATTTCTTGCCTTGCCATTTTGCATAACAGCAAAGGTTGCAGTCAACCAAATCATGAGCCCACCAACGGTTTCCAACCGGATTGCAAGCCAACGGTTTGCACTCATGTTCACTAATGTATACCTGATATTATTGTCCATGGAATTCCCATTAATCTTCGACATTCGATCATAAGCTTTATATGCACGAATGGTAGATAAACCATTCAGTGCTTCCCCAAATTGTGCATACACAGGAGATCTTGTGATGGAATCCAATCGCTTTACCTCACGGGCAGTGCTCTGAAGGAACGAATAACCAAAGTAAATCACAACATAAAAGTACAGAAGATAGATCATTATTTAGACCATCATTTGTGCATATCAAACAAGCAAAAGGGAATGAAATAGCACCAAATCCAACATGCTTATGGCAACATTACAAGATTATACCAGAATAAAAGCAGAAAATATATTCGATATCACAATAAAAAGAACAAGATACTAGAACTACAGATGACTAATCATCTAAAAGATAACATGTAGGTTTGCATCTAAATAGTGGACTTATCAATAATCTAGTTCACTTCATTGGAAAGAGATATGTAAAAATATATTTTCAACCACAAGGGTGGTGCCTGATTGGTTTGAGCTTGGCTCCAAAGGTCAAAAGTACCAGGAGGTCCCAGGTTCAAATCCAAGGAGGAATAAAAATCCCCTTGTGGTCATGGAGGTTCAAATGCGGTGACTCCAGGCTATCTACAAAGCAGGTGGTTGCCCTGGGATTAGTCGGCTCGCATAGCGGGTTGGATATCTAGGTTAATCATATATATATATATATATATATATATACATATATATATATTTCTGAATCAATATAGAACTGATGCCACTTCAACCAAATTATTGAGATCCAATGATGGATCTTTTTAACTTAATTGAATCAAATATAATATATTGATCGGTAAACAAACTCACATACCTGATAATACAGATAAGCTGCATAGAACAGCAACAGAAGTGGCAAGATAGCCCAAAGAGACATGGTGCTCAATAATCCTATTAGAACAAAGGTTGACAAGAGCTGCGACACTTGACCCAGAAACATGTTCACAAATGGGGCAACATTCCGATCTATGTCACCAAGATCTTTTGCAAATCTATTAATGATACGTCCAAGGGGATTCGTGTGGAAAAAGACCATAGGAGCTCTCAATATGGAGTTAAGCATAGCATTGTGCAACTTCCGAGCAGCAATAAGGCTTGTTATGATCAACCAAAAAGAATTTGCCAATGTCACCAAAACCTGAAAACCAAATTGTAAATCCATTAGTTTTAAATTTTACAGCGGACAAAAAAGTAAATTAACCAATGCATGGATGCTCTCAACTTCAGTAAAAAACTGCAAGAAAAGAAAAAAGACCATACACAAACTTGAAGAAAGAAGAAGTTACTGCACTAGTGTCCAGCTTATATTTCATTTTCTATATAAAGGAACACACTCTTAAAATCGATCAGAAACGTACTTGACCGAGTGATAGAAGTGCATATATAAGATTATAGAATAATGGGCTGTGGGTCTTCGGGGAGCTTTCGTCTGTCCAAATACTTAACCACGTGCTACTCAGTATTCTTAAAGTTTCTGTTGAAGCATAGCACCCGAACAATATAACCACAACCCACCAGCCTCCTAATGCATCTTTATACCTGAAAAAAGAACAGACAGAAGTACAGTAAATAAATAGTTTGTATCCCCCAATGAATATCTAAACTTGGTTAAAACATGCACACAAGAACAAATTTCTTCCAATGTGCAATCTTAATTGGTAAAATTAGCAGGATTTGAATATAACGTTTGATGATTAAGATTGGTCTTTTCGAGTATTACATTAAAAATAATTAATAAAATGTTGGTCATGGTGGATTGAGGTGAGTAACTGCAGATCAGTTTTGAAGAACACATGTAGAAGAACATCAGATCCATTTTTATAGACCTTGAGGTTTTGGGTATGCTTATTTATTCTAGAAGATAGCATAACCAATCAGATATAATCAGATAGCAGTTCATGTACAGTTGAAATTTTGTGCTATAAGCTATTTACCTCTTCAAAACATTAAAGCTGACAACACCCGTCTCCCGTTCTTCTTGCTTAATAAGAACAGATTTGGGTCCTTTCTTTTTGTCAGCATCTTTAGCTAACTCACCAGCTACACCATTAGTCACAGGTATTGATGTCTTTGTATCAGCCTCTCCTGCCTCTTCTTTTTCCTCCACATATTCTTCCATTTTTCCTGCATTCTCCATCAACTTCTGGAAGAGTACACCATTCTCTGAGAGTTCTTCATAGGATCCCTCCTCTTTCACCATGCCTTCATGGACCAAGAGGATCCTATCCACTTGTGAAAGAAAATGTAGTTGGTTTGTAACTAGAACACGTGTTTTGCCTCTTAATTCTTCTTTAATACATTTCTCAAAGACCTGGCAATTAAAACAAATTCATATTCCACATGAGATCACTTCAAGATGAACATTAAAAGATGATGATGAATGTAACAAATTGCAAGAATTTAAGTTGGTGATGGGGCTTTCATAGTAATGACCATACTTGCATCCATTTCATATTTAAAGAAAAAAGTGGATAAGGAAGGGGGGGAAAACCAAGATGTAAGCTCTGTCTGCTAGATATGGAATTTTTACCTGTCGACCCACATGAGCATCTAGAGCACTCAAAGGATCATCAAACACATAAACGTCAGACTTAGAGTATACAGCTCTAGCCATGGAAACTCTTTGCTTTTGTCCTCCACTAATATTGACCCCTCTTTCACCAATCTCGGTAAGATCACCACCCTAGCAACACAACATATAATATATCACTTACATCGAAGATATGGAAGTTGGAGCTAAAACTTTGATAAAAAGGTACTTACTGGAAGCACGTCAAGGTCATGGTGCAATGCAGTTACATCAAGTGTCTTCTCATACCTTGCAGATTCAAAGACGGATCCGAACAATATGTTGTCACGTACCTGAAATATAAGCATATAAATCTCGAATGACTATCAGGGGAAAATGAAAGACAGAGATGATCTATTGTTCTAATGTCTATCACTAATGTTGTGTTCTCGAAACCTTTATTACGAAGGAAAGGGAAAGGAGGCAAGGGCTGGAAAGTAAAAAGAAAAACTAGTGTTCTCGAAACTCTTTAGGGAGAGAAAGGAAAGATAATGATAATTTACCTTCCAAAACTTCCCTCAGAAATGTGGGAGGAAAGGAAAGAAATTAAAACCCCTTAAAAAGATTATTAAAACTACAAAACTACTCAACCTTTCATTTTAAATGATATATTTTAAAGGTATATTTGTAAAGTTGACATCTTTCCTTTCCTTTCTCTCCTATTCAAGAACATGAAAAATTATTTTCTTTCCTTTCTTTTCTCTCCAAATTAGAGAACACTGTGTAACTGAGTCCAAACCTAAGGAGAAAGAGCTTCCATTTCAACTCATTAAACCTCATTAGCACTTTAAATATTCATCAGTAGGAAAAAGGTCACACCGGAATAATAACACCAAAAATGATTTTGCAAAGACAAGGAACTCTTGAAATAAACTAAATGGCAAGACATGACATACAGTTGCGTTGAAAATCCATGACACTTGTGGGACATAAGCAACTGTTCCTCTCATAATAACATGTGCATCACTAACTGGAGGAAGTTCTCCAAGCATAGCAGATATGAGCGATGTCTTCCCCTCCCCTGTACTTCCAACAATTGCTACGAGGCTACCAATTGGTATATCTAAATTGATATTTGATAATACGGGTCTATCTGACTGCAACAAGAAAAAAGAGAACCAATTAAAGACACTTTAGACATAAATGTGATTGTATAAATCAATTAATATCATTTGGTTATAGTAAGTAATAACTATAACCCTGAACTTGCGAAAAATAAACCACGCATGCTAACTAAATATTTAAATAATAATAATAATAATAATAATAGTATAAGACCTTTGAATCCCATGAAAAGAATCCATTCCTAATTGAGATAGCTGGAAGTCCTGCTTCAAGAGGTGGATTTGGAAGAAGAAGTCTCTCCTCGGCTAACAGTAGGTCTTCCAGACGTTTCAAGGACACATTGGCATTTACGACCTGCGAATAAAAACAGTCACAACTCTAGTTAATAATGCTTATCCATGTAAAAGATAAACTTTATTTGTTAGCTAGACTATTTGCTAGAAAGTAGCAATAGATAGTTATCTTAGTATTAGCCATCTAGTATAAATAGACGACTAGGTTTATTGTAGAAAATATGTGTGAATAGAGAAAAAGTCTCTTTTACGTTTTATTATTTATAAAAGCAAAACCTTTGAAGCTCAAAGTCGTTCTTGAATGTTCTTATTTTATCTTTGAGACTTCATAACTTTCTTCGTAAAATCACTATAATTTGGTTATTTATAACTAGATTATTAGTGTTATTGAGAGATCTGGGATCAACAGTCTCAGATGTCGATTATACTAAAACATGCAGTAAGAAAAATCAGTAAATAGCAACAAAACTTTCAAGAAGTCAACTTGATGAGCAAGGGAATAAAGCCAGATAGCAGAAAATGTTACGAGTAAAATGAGTTTGTATATATGGTAACCTAACATGTTGAGGAGACTTATCAATAGCCATATAGAACTGATATCCACCAAGTATGTTAATGTAACTAAGGTACCCAAAAATCAAAACATAAAAAAGGAGCAACATAGATTGTTGCAGCAGTGTGTCAAATAAAGGCTAAGTGATAAATATCCAATATAACAAACCTGGGTTATCATATTCGGGAGCATGAACAGTGGAAAACGTAGTACAGCAAACAAAGAAAGTGATGTGAAGGCTCTGGCAGGTGTCAGGTCTCCTCCGAGTAATGTAAACATTCCAAACGAGACCACAATCACAACCACTGGAATACTATTTAGTATAAAAGTGTTCAGCTGCAAAACAAGGAAGCAACAATGTCAGTCACAGAAGAGGATGAAACATGCGGAAAAGTATGTCACTATAGAATGCACTGGAGACTATGACAGAAAGAACAATATTCTTGCAACCACACACCCCCATCCTGCATAAATCTGAATAACTGAAATGGAAATGATTATCGAAACAAATATTAACAATAAACAAAGACCATTTAGCATCTGAAACTTAACCATGAAATCATGTAGAAATATTAGATGTATCTATTGATTGCGATGAACAGTTGGTGGGCCTGAATCATCCAATAAACATCAAATAAGAGAAAGAAAATAGTCCTGATTACTAGCCATTGTAAATTCATCTTTGTTACCTAAAAGCCAAAATATAGTGAAAAGGATCTGCCACATGAGCAGGAATAAATAGTCCTGATTACTAGCCATTGTAAGTTCATCTTTGTTACCTAAAAGCCAAAATATAGTGAAAAGGATCTGCCACATGAGCAGGAATGAAGCATGTGTAGGTAGAGGAGGACTGAATCCAACACAAACAGATACGTACTGGGGTAAAATGCGCATGCAGTTTGCTTAATGAAGTCGTATAAAATCTGAAACATTCTTGCTATGCATAAATTTGGAAGATATATTGAGGATGTCCATGATCTTTGTTTGGAAACATACCGATCCTAGCATTTGCACTTTCCGAAACCACGACAACTCCTCTGTTCGGACACTTTGGACCTTTTCTTGGAAACTATTCTCCCAAGCATAGCATCTGAAACAAAATTTAAAGAGTCACAATGACTATTTACTACTCAAACTACACATGGAAAAAGCTGGTATTCGAAAAGGAAAAATTAAAACATATCAGAAGGAGAAAGAAAGAGTACTTCACAGTGTCCATGGCTGCTAGGATTTCATTCATGAGGCCAATTCGCTTGTCAGTCCGCTGCAGTCCTTCCTTGGACATTTTTTGCATTCTACTGATAACAAATGTCTGTTTCCAGAAGATAAATTACAAGTTTTGATGATAACTAGCACCTCCATGCATAATAATAAAGAATTTATATAAGCAACATACAAGTCATAGAATTGCCCATACTTAACTTGCCTATTAATGCAAATAACGTACTTACGTACATGCCCAAGTGGCTTGTTCAGACAGTTAAGTCAAATTTGCCATTGTTTGAGTGTGCTTCTTTGTGTGAAAGTTCATTTTGTCTTAAGCTAAGAAGTATTTTGCAAAAGTTGGCCTTTGAAAGTATGTCTATTCCAACACATATAGACAACATAAAGCAGGCCAAACGGGCTAAAAAGGAACTCCATAATAAAGGCCTGAAGGTAAATACAAAGCAAATTGACATAATTGTCTGTTGTATACTTTTATATCTGTTAGTGTTGGCGATTTTAGTGTCATCAACCATTTGGTGTGATTGTATTTACTTAAGATCGATTGAGGCGATGAGGCAAACATACGTGAGTTAGGAGGTGTTGAGTGCACACCGACAAATGTTGCCCCTATCACCTCAGATCGCCATAAAGCGGGGGTCAAGGGGGCCGTGCCCCTTTGCGGGGTCCTAGGAACAGCGCCTCTGGCGGGTTTCCAAGGGTCTGAGCCCCTTGTTTGTTTTTCAGCCATTGATAAGCCATTGCTAAAGGTACTATTGTGCCTGTTGCTGAAGAGCCTCGGCTGTCGCTGAAAGGCCTTCAGCTATCGCTGTAGAGCCTTCAGCTGTCGCTGAAAGGCCATCGCTGAAAGGCTGTCGCTGATAGTCTTCATCTATCGCTGAAGATGTATTTTCCAGAACTTAAGATTCGGTTGTAACTACCTTTTGACCTTATCCATTAATGGTTGCAACCATTTATCTGCCGTAACCGTCATCTCTCTTATAAATACATAGTTTTGTGATCTTAGTACTATATATACGAAATTAGTGCCTTATTTCGTAGCATTTTTCTAGATTACCCACTTACTGATTTCGTGTAAACCCAAGGCATAATAGGGGCTAAATACAGTATTTGGAAGGTAATTTCCAAACACGATCTAGAAAATTATCCAAGGAATTCTAACCACAAACCTCAATAGACAACAATTAGTCCTCCCTAGGTTAGAGAATATTTATTAGATGCCTAACTTATCAAACCTAGTATCAACCATTGTTCCCTGAAGGGGCCTTAACAAATATGAGCTACTTAACCTCCAGAATGTATCAAGACCGGCTCAACAGAAGGTGGGTTCATGGAAGTACCAAGCACCTTCTCATGAACAAGTGAAGATTGATCGCAATACATTCTATAGATGTATATGAATTGGGCGATGGGCGATGGCCGATGTGTATGAATTGGGAAAATCCAAAGAGGGTGAAGGAATGGGGACGTCAGTCATGAACTAGAGGTGAATCCAGCTGGTAGGATGTGATGCTAGTTACAAACACAAATGAAGAGTTACAAATTATGACGATGGCTGAGCAGAAGCAACTGATCAAGCCCTAGGAGGAGATCACTCTGAGAACAAAAGGCAGGGAGATATTGATTGAGTGGTACACTGCCTTTGAAGGGAGAGACACGGATGTTTCGTGAGGACATTTGTATCTAAATACATAGCATTCCATGAAATAAAAAAAGGAACCAGAAATCATGTCTATTCCATTGATCGATACAAAGATAAATATTGAACAATGCGGATCCATAGGTTGAACAAGGAGAAACCCTAATAATGAAAAAGAAAAAGAAAAAGAACATAACTAGCTAAATCCATTTTAAATCATTTGGTATCTCGAAATATATTTGAGTTTTGCAATGTCATTATGTGTTATGAGAGATGATCAATCTTATCCCATCGAGTGATATTGATGGTAGCAATTAGTGGTTGGTTCGAAGACTTGATGGAGAATGAGACAAAGTAATGAATTTGTATTCATGCAGGAAGATGATACAAGCACACACCTATATGCATATATGTATGTATGCATGCATATCTACATATGTATGTATTTGTACGCATGTCTGTAGCATGTATATGCACATATGTATGCATACTGAAAACAACAGATACCAACATGAACATCCAACTGAAGATGTTGTGATCGTTAAAGTACCTGTATGGGGAACATGAGAACTAGCAATAATGCACCAAGGAGCGAAGCAACACCCAGTTGTTGGTAAAGAAGAATCAAAGCGAGAATGATACGGAAAGGGGCAGACCACAAAGTGTGAAGTGACTGGCATACTTGCTGAACAGAAGGAGAAGAAAATAAAATTAGATGTTGAACTAATTGAAAGCAGCAATACTTTATATTCGATGGCCCGTATTTTGAGAAGCTCATTTGTATAGAGATTGCAAGTTAGGAGTTATAAATACTTCCCAAGTTCAATAAAACTCCATGAAGCAAACGGGGTGCATTTCAATAGCTTTTATACTTAAAAAGAGAAACATGCCTGGAGTGATTCAGAGTCAGTTGTCATCAAGTTGGTTATCTTCCCGGATGCAATCTTTCTGCGACTCTCATTGGTTAGCCTTAAAGTCTTCCGAAAAACTGCAGCAATCTGTAAAGAATCACAGATTCAATAGTTGTACCAATCTCTAAAAGAATCTTAAAAACTTTATAAGAAACAAGAAGCTATTGTACTTGATGAGAGTGAAGTAACTACCAGAGTTGAACGAAGACGGTAACCAACACGCATGACATTCTGAAAGTACTGAGCCTCACACAGCACACCAAGTACCTAAATTTATAATCAATATAACTACAAGTATGAGAGATCCCAAAAAATTGGGAGAGATAAACAATAGTAATCATATTCTTTTATTCCCATGGAGTGCTACATCTCATTAAACTGTCAAAATCTAGAATATAGATAGGGGAGATGACTATGATCTATCAGTTTAGATTTTAATTGAACTCTGACTTTTAGATATTGCACTCCCTAGAAGTAGAATCCAATGCAAACTTATTCACATGCATCCATAAGGCACATCACCTTATCAGAAGAAGCATCTCACATTCTCATGTTTGTGTTAAATATTAGCTGCCAATATATATGTTATATTTTTTCCTTTTATGTAGGAAACTACACAAAAGGAAAAGATATAAAATACATGTTCACAGCTAATATTTAACAGTTTCGGAGTCATATAAATCTTTTAAACAATAAAGAATAATAAAGTTATCGAGCTTGTACCACTCCAACGAAAATTGTGAAAGCATAGATGTAACCGATCTGAGCTGGACCGCGTTCTTGCATAGACTGCAAATTGTCCAAAATTAGAAAAGAAAAAGAAAGGGAATCTACTGAAACAGAGATAAGAAATGGAGCTACAGCAGCTGATAGTTTCCCCTGAGAAGAAACATTTCATTTCCCATAGAACCACATAAACTTCATCTCCAGTCAATCATTTGAATAAATCATATATGCATAATCAATGAGAAGAGATGAGTACAATCTACCATAAATGTGAACTACACAGTTCCAACTTTATATGAAATAGCATATCATTATCCTTTTCTCAGTTAGATATCTTGCAGACAAGAACTTTTTTAATACAATAAATAACTTTTAAAATTATGAATATAAAATTATGGTCAAATTTTAGAAAGAAAGAAAAACTAACATCATGAAACTAGCTATAGTTTAAAAAGTTTGTTGTAAAGAAAGTAGTCAGATTTTGAAAATAGTTTCTTCAAATAACTACCCACGTTGTTATAAAAATATACTCGCAATCTTATAAATTAGTGTGTCATAGAACAAATGATATTTTGAAATAGTTTGTCATTATATGTGTCACATTAACATGGTTCATCTTAATAATTGTTGTCACAAAACCACTCACGTTTGAAAAAATTCATTTCCATAGAAAGTCACATTTTAAAGTGTCATTATGAAACTACTCATAATTATTAAGACAAAAAATTTGTTGTCGCGTTTTAAAACTGATTGTACAAAAGTGGGCACATTTTACGAAATTTGACGCCATAAAAATGCCTTCATACTGTTGTTACAAAAAAGACACCACTTTGTATATTTAGAATGAGCATGAACATAAATGCAATCAATAGGTAGATCTTATTATTTCACAAAGATGGCTTGAACCAGCAAAATTTATATAGAGAGACTCAAAAAGATAAAGATCTTAATAGGAGATGTTTGGAAATAGCAAACTCACCAATAATAACTGGTTCAGAATCAGTGGCCCAACAAACTGAGAAAGATCATTGCCAATCTACAAATGGCCATGGAAGAACAAATATATCAAGAACACACCATTACAAAATTTGTAAGCGTCATGTCAATTGAAAGATAAATCTTTATTAACCAAGACCGAAAGCTCACATAAGAACAATTGAAAAGGTTATATTGTTGAATGTCAAGATAGCACCAAACATAAATTATTTTTTTATAAAAACAATGCCCTCTCGGACCACAAGGAAGTTCTAAATCGGTAAAGTTACTATTACCCAAAAACTCAGAATCATTTCATTACTTTTAATTTGACATCTATTTTGATATAATTTTTCATCCGTTTTTTCATGGTTCTCCGGTTCTTTCTCTTTTCAAGGTTCACTCTGGATATTTGCCCCTATGTATATATGACCAAATAAGAACTTACTTTTTTATCCTGTCTAAAGTCAATTGCCTGCTTCAATGATAAAAGACTCAAATAAGGCATATAACAGTTCAGGTACACAGAATGGCATTAGGCAAGACGATGTATTTTCACAGATGAAAAAGATGACTGGGAATATAAAAAATACACCACAAAGTTTACATTCAAGAGATTCATCAAAAGCTCATTTTTTTCTAGGATTTCATTTTATTTAACACGTCAACAATGAGAATGTTTCCAAGGAAACGATAAAATGTAAGATTCAAAACAATTCATTGAATACCTTCCAAAAGCCTCCCCACCAAAACCTGTAGCCAAATAAACGTTTATATATTTAGATCTTCTCATGCTTAATGGAAACATCATTACAAGCAACAAAACTTTGTAAGAACATGTATTTGTACAGACCTTCCACCAAGACTACGATGTAAAGCCCTTACAAGCCATGGTTTAGGTTTGCGGCACTCTTCTGCCCAACATTTTTCAAATCTGAAGAGCAAAAACAGAATCATCATCAAGCTGAACTGAAGTGCAGAAAGAGATTATCGTTCATTTTTAAATCCACCAATTATAATACATGCAAGTAGAAACAATAACATGCCTGCTATTTAGCGTTTCTGTCTGATCCCAAGTGTCCAGTTTCCATATATCCTTCTCTGTGAGAGGTCTTTTGTAACCTAAACTCATGAGTGGATCCATCCAAGCAAAGAAGATATCTAAAAAGAAACAAGAAAAGGTATCATAAATCGCTTCAAGTTATTAACATAAGAAGACTATTTATTGAAAAAAAAGAAAAGTACGAATCATTTGCAACAAAAGAATTGTTCAAGACAACATGAAACAACTCGAACATTCTTAATTTATAATACTAGATATCAACCACATCATATGAAGGTACAAAAATGAAATGCCTGTACATGATTGTGAAATTGTGAATAGCACAATGGGTGGACAAGCCCTCAAATTGAATCATGAATCTTACCCAACCAAGCCAAAATAGGAAAAGGTTGGCAAGAAGTAACGAACATGTTCTCACGAATATATATATATATATATATATATATATATATATATAATGATGATTATACATGTTGATAATGCTCCATTTTTAATACCTTTAAATACATAAAGTATGTCATCAGAAGGTTACAATATACAGTTTGCATATATCAGCTTTCCGCAATTAAACTAGTAGCACTTACTAGAAATAATGTTGGTGTGCCTCTCAGGACAAATTTGCTCTCCACCAGCAAGTTCTTCATATTCAGCATCGTCCAGAGACTCTGTCCGTATTGGGGTATAACCAGGATAAGGATCCAATTTAGGAAGATAGACAATCAAGCATACCCCAAACAGAACCTACGTCAGAGAAAAGCCCATCATCAAACGACTGTATTACATGTCTAGAACTCGGGATTCATAATGCAACATGCATTCAGGTTATAATTGTAGTTCATATAAGTGGTAGATTTTGAGGCATCTAGAAAACGAACTTGATTTTGATAAATCTATGAGTCAACCAATTGATTTTGTGAGCATGAAACAAGAGACTTCTGTTCAAACATAAAATAGAGATAATAGTTTTAGATCTGATAGTCCATGCTTCTCCAATCTACTAACTACTTGAAGTGCCAATAATAGAAACAGCTTTATTTACGTAAACTGCAAGAAAATTATGCAGATCAATTTTATAAATTTGAAAAAAAAAAAAAATCATTCCCATTTGAGGTGGGGAGCCTAAAGAAGTGGGTAGGGTTAAATTTCCTCTGAATGAGAGTCAGCAGAAGATGAGGGCATTTGTTCATCCTTCCGTTCAAACCAATAGAATTGGCTACGACAAACATAAACCATTTCTTACTTAGAAAGTAACAACATTTAGTTAACAACCCTTTTAGATAAGTAACTACACTTTCTTTTATTTCACTGATATTGTCTACAATAAAATCATAAAAGTAAATAATACTTTATATGAAAATAATTTACTTCTGTTGTTAATTGTTAAACCATTTTACTGTCCAAACATACTACAATGATAGGGTACTTTCAATATCAATGTTAAAAATCACAATAGGATTGAAATAAGTAGTAGAAGTTAAGTTACACAGGTGACATTCTTGATGTTTTCAAGGGAAATGAGAATTCAAAATACATACAAGCATGCTGCAACCAAAGAGTTTCAAACCATTGCTGAAAGCTTGTATTACATTTGTTGGTTTGAAAGCTTGCATCACATTTGAAGTACAATATTAGATTGAAATAAAAATGTATAGAAGCACAAGGGTGTAGTAGGTAGAATTATTGCAGATTGCTTGACTCAGGTCTCATAAAACTACAATACTTTTGATAGAAGAGCTCATTACTACCAACAACAATCCTAAGTTAATGGGAATGCTAACTGAATCTGGTAATACTGATCTTGACTATCAGCAGATTATTTTAAATAAAAAATTATCGTTGGTCTTGTTCAACTCATGCTAAAGTTACAAACTACTAAACAGGAGAACATCTAACCTGGATGACGACTTCACTGGCATAGATATACAGTACATATCTGCAAGGAGCAACTTCAATCATAAATTGAGATGTTCACCAATTAAAACAGGGAGCATTAAGACAAGAAGAACTACAAAACACAGCATGTACCAGCTTCTGCTTTTCATCAAACCATATCCTATTGTTTAACCAAAATTTACACTAGAGAAAACACCATACAAAAGCAAACGTATGCATCACAATTTCATAAACATAGGACTAATAACAACGATCATGTTCCATGTCTCCCTCTACAAATAGAAGAAAATATTAGAGGATGGTCACATTGAGAAAATACAAGTCATGTGATCAGTATATGTAATTTGGGGTTACTCCACAAGCAATTGGTTTTGAAATGAGAATCCAAATACCATCCCTGAAATTTGAAATTCACACAAATAACCTGCTTACTTAGAAGTTAAACTTAAATTGAATCAATGATCTTGACCAAGTCAAATGGGATTTCTTTTTTTTTTCTTTTTTTTTTTTGGGGGGGGGGGGGGGGACACCTTCTACAGTTAGAAGGCCTCCTAGGAAAGTTCTCTACCAAGCTTGTCACACTTACGGTTAGAACACCTCCTTTCAGGTTTGGACAAGCCTTTATGTTGATTAAGCTTGAAGGATTGGGTCAATTTCATACATAGAGATCTACCAGAAGTGTTGTTGCTCCCTTCTGGCCTAAAATCATCTAAGCAATTCTACCTCAATTATTGCAGTCTTCTGTCAAAGAAGACCAATAGGCAAATCAACTTGGTCTGCAATGCCAATACTTGAAGGGGATAACAATAGAATAGAAGTTGTATAATCAAAGTCTTAAGGAATTAATTGCCTTTCATGAATAATCAAATAATGTAGTGGTTACAGTAAATATAGTATCATTAAATATTGTTTCACTTCAGCTGAGAGCAACAATGATTATCAAATGAACATTTCCATCATGTGAAGAAAGAGCATCATTAAGAACCCAAGGTGTAACATGGCATATGGTGTCAATATACCAACCAAGCAAAGCAATTTTCAAGTAGCATAAAAACTAACCTGCTGTAATAACTGCTCACGGAAAGCACAAGATTGAACAACACGGCATCCCCGAGCAAAACATAGAGGACACCGAACCTCACAAACCAACGAACTTCACAAACATAAACCATCGTTTCAAGGCCGATCACGACAAACATACAGCACCATGCAAGAGCCTTAATAACTAAGGTAACAATCTGCAATAATAGATAAAAGAACGTAGTAGAGATCAGAAGAAATTACTTCGTGAGGTAGTTCTTTGATAAATTTACTAATAAGAAATGGGAAAAGAACAAGATCAGCATGCAATGCAATTCAATCATTGTGGAAGGCGGAAAGTAGCATATTAAGCTTTGAATAAGTGACATCTTTGGTGAAAAATAAGATAACCGAAAAACAAACAATGGCCTTTCTACTAGGAGGCAGGAAAAGAAGGGTAATGCTTACCATAACCACAAGCAAATCAAAGATCATATAAGAATTTCATGTCAACCGTTTACCGTGTAAATATAATATTTACTTGTGCCTTATTATGCTTTGTTTGTCTCTATACACATTCACACAATCACGATAACATGCCGGACACTATAGTTAAGTGTGAAACACGTCTAAACCATGTTGAAAATTTTGTTGCTCTTCGACACTTTACACATATCACATGCTTCTCAAACATATCAAAATCTTTGATTATTCTATTCTAGTCCAGACACTTCCTGGACTCCTTGCTGAAAATCGTCTGACCCACCCCCCTCATAAGGCTTCGCCAGTTTTCACATCACACACTAACGTAGCGACAAATAGAGACCAAAGTACTTTGTCAGTGATTCTAACTTTCATTCAGTCTGATTATGCGACACCGGTCTTTGAAGTTGAACATGCCCCTTCTGCCATATAGTTTCGAGGTCAATTCCTCTTTCTAACTTCTTTTCTACCGGTTGAGACAAAGTCACGTACGACGAAGAAAAAATAAGCCTCRGTCTTATCTCGAAAGACTCCATTACCAGGACTACTAAAACGATATTTCACTCGAAGACGGCGGCAGTCGCAACAAAGCGAATCCTTCTTTTCATTGTCTTACTTTACGCGCAGAGCAGGAGCTGGTGTCTGGATCTCCAGCCCCATCTGCATAGGAGTTATTTGGGTAGAAGAACCCATCGCAAATAGTTCTCTTAGTATCGGAGTCTTCTTTTGACAGCTTGTAGATGTGCTTGTCGAGGAGCATGCATAAACTGAAAGACTTGATTCACAGCAAACGTCATGTCGGRCCGGGTCAACGTGAAAGACTTTAGGCCTCCCACCATACTTGTATAGTTCSTTGGATCAAGTCTTTTCTTTGAGTAAAGCCAAAGCCTTTAGCGACTAGCCTGACCTTTTCCTCCTAAGAGGAATCACGACCACCACAWTCCCTTAAAACCTGGTAGTGAGCCTGTGAGTGTAAGGCCCTACAGATACCCCCACATCCAAAAGGCTGAGATAGAAAAACAGGTCAAGGAGATGCTGTTAAGTGGTATTATCAGGGCAAGTGTGAGTTCTTATGCTTCTCCAGCCCAAACTATAATACTGCTCTTTGGAAACATGAGTCCATATATATGATAGTCTCAACACCCATTTAGCCATCATGTTGACCTCTTTTTCCCAATCCAACAAATTTAATCCCCAACTAAACAACACAGCAAAAACCCACTGTAAATTCAAAAACTACTACACAGTCTTTTTTCCATCTCATATTAATAACCACCATAACTGTTTTTAATATCCGAATTTGACATCCGACCCCATATAAAATACGCCTCATATGGATATAACCCAGGAGAGCAGGAACAGAAGGATTTAAGTAAAGGCAGTAACTTTAAATTTCATCCCCAATCACCAAGATTTTATACAGCAGAACAAAATGGACTTTGAGGCTGAATAACCAAAACTTCCAGCTTTGAACCTTAGAAGAAGTCGACACATAGGTTTGCAAATGTCCTAAGATAGATATAGGGAGAAATCTTGGAGCAATCCATGTGCTTTTAAGGTGTAGGTATTGTGGGTTAGCTGGCTCTATTGTCCTTCTTGTTCACCATGCCTCCTCCTTTTCTCTTTAGTTTTTATTTCTTCTCGCCTTCAATTTATTGTCACTTGTTTCAGACTCTTTGCAATCTTTTTTAAACCTTCCTTCAGAAAATAATAAAAATAAAATGTTTTGCAAGATTGGCTTCCAACTATGGTTTTCAAATCTTTTTCGCAAGCAGGGGGTCTACTCGGAAATAGTCTCTCCACCTATTGAGACAGATGAAATATTTGTGTACATCTAACCTCCCAAGACTCTACCTCCGGGTGGGATATACTAGGTATGTTTGGTTAGTTTATACATAAACGATGGATAAGTGTTTGATATGTTGGTTGTAAACACTTTCAACCATCACCAATGTCCACAAATGTGCCATTAACTTCAAATATCTTAGAAACAGGGATTGGAAAATGTTCAACTTAACTTCCCAAAGTACTGCATGGCCCAAATAATGTGATACCTGGGACTATTAAAGAGAGAGAACCCTGATAAGCCTAGAGGTAGACATTTTACATGTATGTTTTTTATAACTTAAAGGGAGTTAACCACCCTTCAATAACATTAATAGTTACTATAAATGTAGTAACATCAAGCAAAAAACAAAAGGAAAGGCCGACCAATAACATATTGCATAGCCCTTCACAATATTCTATACCTTCACAATATTCTATATCATGCCTATGCTTTCAAATGTTAATATATGCTTGGTTTTAAAAAGCGCGATGCGATCTGAGGCGGTAAGGGTCCCGGAAGCCGATGCATGATGTGGATGCGCTCGCATCACGCACGTGATGCGCCCGGTATTCAAAAAATACTTATAAATTAATCCTACATATCAATTTCTACCTTAAAAATACTTATCTATCAAAATACTTCATTTATAACATAAAGTAGTTCAAAAAGTGGCATTAGAATCATAAAAAGTTCGTGAATCGAAATAACAAAACACACAAACTACTACCATGAAGAACACAAGTAAATGTCTAATAGTCCCCAATCCCTAAACTAAATGACCAAGTGACCAACTAATACTCCCCAAGATCAGCATCATCAAACCTCAACACGGGTTCATCTCCCTCATCATTATCAAACCCTCCAATATATGTTTCCACCTCAACTTCATCATCTTCACGACTCATGTATATATTCTTAATCTGATATGCGACTTGAGACTTGAGAGGGGCTTATATTTTATTAGGTCATTATAACCTCTAAAGAATGAAAAAGGAGCCCAAACATGAACATACAGGATGCGCTAATGCACGCATCGTGTGATGCATAGCTGATGCGACCGCATCAGAGAGCATCATGGAATCGCTTCGCATCATCCCCTCTGATGCGTTACCTCCAGCGCATCAGAGCGCATCACGCATCGGAGCGCATTATGCGTGCATTTTTAAACCAAGAATATATGCACTTCAATTTTCAAAAGTACATGAAAGAAGTGGTAATAACTTATGAGTCAATTCAAGTTGCTAGGTGAAATTTTTTTGGTAAAGAGATAATGCATATAGTGTAGGTATCAATTATCATGTTGAGTTTACAAAAATATATTTACAAACAACAACAAGAAAAGGAAAGAGAAAACAATAATAGACTTGTCAAACTACCCAAGGACACTCTAATGTTCTTACTAATCAGTTTTCTCGAGACAATAATCACCAAAAATCCATTAAGAGTCAGGTTCAGGGGAAAACCACAAAGAAAATGAAAAACTGAGGAACACCCTGGTAACCGTTGATCTGTATGGTATGCACATATGCATACAAGTAATTTGTAAGCAATTTGTCCGGTATGCACATGTGCATAAAAACCAAGAAACAACTTCAATTACTTGAATGCACATGTGCATAAAAACCAAGAAACAATTCCAATTACTTGTGTGCATACCATCCGGATGAATGGTTAACAGAGTGTTCCCCTGAACCTCCCTTATCCACCTAAAATTCCTATATACACAATCAAATTTCCTAATAATATCACCACTAAATAGGTTAGAACAAATAAGAAAGTTAAAAGAAAACTAGAAAATGTTTACAGACCGGCTACCAAGTCAATAAGAAATAAACAAACCTCGTATGGAGCAAGACCAGTCTCTCCATCAACATTAAATGCCGAAACGCCCATTATCAATCTGAACAAAGGCTCAGCAGTAGAGTATAAAGCCAATAACCCCAACCAATAATTGTAGATTTTTGACCTCAATTTGAACCTTTGCACTTTCAAATTCTTCTTTGTGACCCATATCCGGTATAAGCAAGTCCCCAAAAGGACCAAATGGGAAATGCCAGTGACCAAAGAGTCTGTTGCACAGGGTGTATAAGTCCCAAATTCATTTTCCAGAGCTGTTTCCCATACCCCATTTGGCACAGGACGGCAATATGACACAGAGGGATTAAACCCCATCTTCCCGACTTAAAATAACTCAACTGCTTCTAGATTGTTAACTTCATTTTTGTCTTTTCACTTTCCTGCAAAAAGAAAAACATTTTAAAACACTCAAAATCATATCTATATATATTACATATGTGTGTGTGTGTGTGGAATTAAAGCAAATTCAGTCAAGAATATAGACAAAAATGAGCTCTAGTACCAAAATATATCATGCTTTTGACTGGTATCATATGAAACATGCATATCTGGTGCAGCTATCAGTTCATCAAAAAAAAAAAAAGACACCTGCTGCTAATTTCCATCTTTGGTTGACATTAAACAAAAACCCGCATCTTGTCTTGATTCATTAAAAAAAGTCAACTGCTGCTAATTTCCATCTTTGATTTACATTACATAGATTAATAACCTAACTATCCAAGCCTCAATTCGATCACATGAACAGATTATATCATTATTACAACCAACCATCAGATTTGGGGTTCAAACAAGTGACACATTTGTGGGATTCCATTAACAATAATAATAGTCATCGTATTCAATCTCTTGAACAAATAAACTAACAAACAAACATCAAAAACACCAAAAACCCATTGGTTTCAAGAAATCACAAGTTCGTGTCAATATGATATGATCATCATCATCATCATCAGTACATACCAAATTTAGATCGAGCTGAGATAGACAGACGAACGGGGGGTTCCCTTAACAACCACACATACGGATTGATTGATGATGATGATGATTAGGTTAAAAAGGTGATGTGATTCGGCGGAGAAAAGAGAAGACAATCGAATGGTTTATGATGCAGCTGTGAAGTGGGAGAAATGGACAAAGGGTTTTTTAATCCAGTAAAGATCGATAGTGGGGAAGTCTTTTTCTACTTTTTTTTAGCTGTTGTTATACCCACCAACCACCATTAACGTTCCGTTCACATTCTTCAATAAATTCAGATATTTAATGCATATGATTTCTAAATCATATTTATAATACCAAATATCTTGTGTTATAATTTTTCCAAATATACTATTTGAAATTAAATATTTTATTATATTTAATTACACCCTCAATTGTATTATTTAATTCTTTTTTATAAACTCGTCATGCTTATATATTTAATAAAAGAACCTTACAAAAAACTATAACACATTTAATTAAAAATAATATTTTTCTAGTTATATTTCTTTTTTATTTGTTTATTTTAACATACATTTTAGGATGGTTGTTAGGGGTCGGATTCTATTGAGAAAAGAAGTTCTATTGAAAATTGTAAGAAGACATCTCCATTATTGGATCCATTTAATTGATTGTCAACATTAATGAGGTGCATATGATCAATTTTCTTTTAAAATGCAATTCATGAGTGGGCATGAAATTAAAAATAATCAAGGGTTTAGATTTTTTTTATGCTTGTCATCATAACTCCATTTCTCACACGATTTTTCACTAGTTGTCAAAGCAAAAAATATCATAAATCATCAAAATCTCTACTTTAGCATAACTATTGGAAATGTTATAATAATGGTTGTCTAAAATATATTTTTAAGACAATCTTTAACAAATATGCTATTGTTTTTCTAAAATAGATCATCAAAAATAAAAAAAATCTACATAAAAATTGCATTCACCTTTAACAATTAATCAATGCTCTAATTTTTCTAAAATAGATTATCAAAAGTCAAAATCTTTATAAAAAAATTACATTCAACTTCAACAACTACTTTATTTTAACAATTTTAGCATTAACTATATTATTAAAATATTTTATACATTTAGTAAGATATTATTTCTCTCTTTTAAACATTTATGTTCAATATATGCGAAAAAAAATTAAAATAAAATTTCTCTCCTCCACATATGTTTATAGAGATTTCTTTAAATTTAGAGATTTTTGTATTCCTTTCTTTTCCTATTTTATCATATGATATAGCATAGTTGTTGGAGTATAAAACTTCAATAAATCACCAAAAATTTTATCATAACATATCTATTGGAGATGCTCTAGCGGATTTGTTATAATATTTTTCAGAATAAATAAGCAAATATTAGAACTTAATGTTTAATGCATTTTACAAACAATAAACGTTTTAAAAATCATTCTACCCACCCATGACCCAACCCAAAACCGTGTCATACCATTTCCATTATTTTATATTAATATTTTATTTAGAAAATATTACTTTTATATTATTAAATGATATTGTTATTATTACAGCTTAATCCTTTATATTTTACTATCATTTTTAATATTATTCATTTACACGTATTGTTATATTATATTATATTAGTTATAATAGGAGTTTTAAAAATTAAAATTTTATGTTTTTACATTTATAATTTTATTAAACATGTTATATTTAAATGTTAATATTATTACATTTGTTGAAACATATTTATTTATCTTTTTAATTTTTAATATATTTTATATAAAAATATATCCGACAAGACATGCAACAATATCTTTTTACTTTTATTTATTGTTTCCTTTTTTTTAGTCACGGGTCTCTAAACCAATTTATGTACACCTTTTATTAATTTTAGTGGCCTTACAAGACTTAAATAGGTGACCTTTGAGGAAAATTTCAAACGTCCAAACCTTATTTTCAGTTAAGCTAACCTCACAATATTATTGTTTTGGTTATTATGAATCATAAAAGTGTTAATCAACTAATAATAAACAAACTAATACATGTCTTTTTCAAACAAGGACACAAGGGTTGATACATGTATACTTTTAAGAAAACTCATTGCTCTTATGTTACGAAATTTATATATATGCATTAATTTATTGCATGAAACGTCATTTCGGTATTATAATTTTATTTTAGTTTCAAGTTGATAATTAAATATAAAAACCTCTTAATAACACTATGTTTTTATATATTATGAAACTTGTAGGTAGATATGGATGAACTGAAAAACGTATATACATGATATCAGTTTCGAATCCCAGAAACTATACATATTTTTTTTATTGAATTAAATAGTTATAGATCAATCATATAATTATACATTTATATTCATATAAATCATTAATAAAATTAATTAACATGCAAAAAAAAATGAAGAACTCATTTTTAGTGCCGGTATGTGCTTATGCTAGTGAGCAGAATGACTAAATTTATAGGATTTTAATAGATAACATTGAAGAAAATCCCTAATAATTTTAAGAAGACAAATTCGTCTAAAAATCTTTTAGTTTCTCCATTATAGCAAATCTTTTAAAATGCCCTCGAAATTATAAATAATTATACTAAGGGGTCGTTTACCAAACGCTTATTCGGATAAGTGAACACAAAGTCATATTACTTTACCAGATGAACATGGTAAGAACCAAAAATCTTACCCGGTAAGAACGAGACAAGAACCAAGAGTCTTACCCGTTAAGTGAGGGCGACGACTCTTACCACGGTAAGCGTTTACCGGGTAAATTGTTACATACAATATCGTTTTGGTGGACTAGAATTTTACCCGGCAAGTAAACGATAGTGTTACATTTTACCGGTAAACGCTTACCGGGTAAGTGTTTGATAAACCGGCCCCTAACTTTACATTTATCTGAATAATTATTTTTTACATATCGTTCTAAATTTGATTATCTTAACTTCAAACAAATAAAAATCAGAATCATAACCATTTTTACTAAGAATTTGATTATTTTTAACAAACTGTAAAACAACTCTCATACAAAAAGAAAAACTAAAATTTGCGAGATCTTACCTTTCTTAATAATACTTGTTATAATAAATTAAAATTAAAGCTCAATTTTGGTCCCCTAACGTTGTAATTTTCAATGGATATTATCCCTAAACCTCAAAGACTCAGATTTGGTTTCTCACATACATCGATTCGTGATGATTTTGGTCATTCAGTCTAACGGTTGTTAACTTTATCTGTTAAGTCTAACTAAATTAGAGGTATTTTCTAATAATTTTTATCATCATATTCTTTTCTCGGAGAAGAAGTAATAACGGTATCTAAAGAATAAGTATCGGACTACAATAAAGGAGTCAAATTCAAAAAATAAAACTGATTGTATGGAATAATAAGGAAAAATATTATATTCTTAATTTAAAATTGTAAAACAAAAAAAAATGTATGGTGGTTATTCTTTTTTATAATTTTATGTTTTAAACGTTGTTATAAACTTAAAAGATAGTAAAAATACTTCTTATTTAAATGTGTTTAACGAAAAAAGTTAAGTGTTAAAAATTAATAAACGTAAAAGATCAAATCTGGGTTTTTATAGTTTAGAAAAATTATAAACAAAATTGCTTTAGATGTATCATTTAAGTAGATAACGAAACTACATTAATGCCCCTCAAGTATCCTATAATGATAAGATGGTTACTCTTGTGGTCCTTGTAGACTCCTAAGTCTTTGTTCAATCATTTTCTATGATATGATACATCTTTGATTGTTTTTTCTTAATTATTTATTTATATTAAATATGTTTGACTGTCTAGACTATGACAGTTAATAATTGAATTATTAAATATTATATAATATGTAGAATAAAGAATTCTTGTTCTCAAATCATATAATTTTGAAAAAAATCTAAAAAAACTCAATAGACTTTAGTGTTTGCAACAAATAAGTACTTGGACATTCCAAAACATATTAAACAACTTATTGGACAATTTTTGGAACAAATAAGTCATTGAACAATCCAAAACATGTTAAATAACTCTTTGGACTTTTTTAAAACATGTTGGATATATTCTTATGACTTGTACAACTAGTTAAAGTGGTAAAATAGTGACAAAAGTCCGAAAAAACTCCCAATAAACATTTATATTTTGAACGATTAAATCCCTAAATATTTTTTGAACCAAAAAGTATTTAGATCTATAAGATTAAACAAATATAACAAAAAAGTAATTACATTTAAAAAATTTTAATAAATTTGTT